GGGGAAACTTTTATAAACATGAAAACAAATATGTTAAAAAAGAAAATTTTGAAATGTTACTTCGTATTTGTGAAAACTTACTATTTTGCTAAAAACGAACAAAATACGAAGTTGTGAAAAACACTATTTGATAAAATTTCTTCAAAATAAGTTTTGTGATTCTTTTTAATGGATTGATAGACTTAAGGAAAGATGTAAACAATATTATTTAGTCTATAATCCAAAAATACGATATTTTCTAAACAACTGTGTAAAGTGAAAAATTTACAATTTGTGTGTACGTGTATGAAATGAGCTTAAAGTATAAACACATAGAGTACACAACTAAACTTGACACTATACCCAAGACAAATAATCTTCAATTAGCTCGTCTTGGTTGCGGATGGAGCGATCATGAATCTAAACTTGAATTGGGACGGCTTCATTTCGATTTCCTTCCAACCTCCTTTAAATATTATCGTGAAGGCGCAAGTCCAACCAACCGCTAACTGGAGGATCTTTGTGTAGAATACCTAACAAGCAAATACACACACTCGACAAACGTTGTTAGGAATTGTTTGTTAATCATCAAAACTAGATTAGATAGTAGCTCATAAACATGAGACCTAACAAACCCAAATATATGGGCTGATGAAATATATGGGCTGATGCATACTGGCATATTTAGTCAATTTACCTCAAATGGTTCGTTATTGCTTACTATGGTATTGAATCAAGATTCTGCACATGTTTTCGAATTTAAATCATACAATTTGATTCATCTAAAGTACGTTCTTGTATATAGAAAGAAACCTGACTCACAGTAAGCAAGCACTGGCACGATCAAGCGCTCCATCTCAATAAATCTTGAAATATATCCAGTACAGTCTTTACTTCATGTTAAGGTATGAAGTCATACATTTTTTCTTTATGACGTTTCGGTATAAAGTGTGGTAATCATGTATAGCAATTTTTTTGTCCACTAACATAAATTTATATGCCTCAAGGTATTTGTGTTTACTAGTTTCATTCCTTTTGACAATCACAGCCGAAAAAACTATACCAGATCCTCTTAATTGATATATTACAATCAAGTATAATAATGATAGTTGAAGTCTATAGTAAACTAGGGTTTATCCCATAACTGTCTTGGTGAAATTTGCTCTAGTAGATTACCGTGGGAAAAGAAGAACAAAAGGCTTCAGCATTAAACACTGGTTTTCTACACATACATTTCCTTACTTTTCTAACCAACTTTTATGCATCACCTTAACAACTTCACCATCTACATTTATCACAAAGAAAGTTGGGTTTCACATAAGAATCTCCAACGAAATATCCTTAAAAACTTCACTATCTCCATTCATCACGAAGAAATTTGGGTTTCATAAGAATCTCCAACGAAATTTTCATCTCCTAAATTTTGTAGGGTTCCCTATGCACAGATACGGATACGGGACACAGATACGACACATACACGGATACGAGATACGACAAAATCCAAAAAAATAGGATACGGGGATACGGCAAGGATTTTTTTTAAATTATTATTATATATAAAAAAATTATAAAATTTAACTAACAACCTAAAATATGAATCTATCACAAAATAACAATCTAAAATATATTATTTGTAACTTTCTCCATCAGATTTATGATAATAATATGACGCTGGGCTGCTGCTCGAACTCAAAAATCGGAGGAGATGATAATGACAGTGGTGGTGATTGTGCTGGACGGGGAGGAGAAATAGAGAATGGACTTGAGGAGTCGGAGTCGGAGGAGTCGGTCAGCAGGATCGGGTCGGAACAGCGGAGGTGATCGAATCGAACGGGAGTGAGCTAAGAGATTGAGAGAGGATTAGGGTTAGGTTTAGAGTTTTTTTTTCTTTTGTTTGAGTCAGCTGAGGATCGAATCGAACGAGAGATTTGAGAAATAAGGATGAGTTTTTAATCGAACGGTTCGGGTTGGATTTTAACAACCAAAAACCCGCAACCCGAATGAATCGGCCTTCGGCGAATCCGAGCCGTTCGGGTTGGATTTTAACAACCAAAAACCCGCAACCCGAATGAATCGGCCTTCGGCGAATCCGAGCCATGTCCGAGCTTCTTTGATCGTGTCCGAGCCTAATTTGACCGTTGACCCGTATCGAACACGGTCAATCTGTGTCCGACACGTGTCGTGCACTTGTCGTGACGAATCCGTGTCCGATTCGAGTCGGACACGGATTCGTGGCCTCCGGGGGCGAATCCGTGCTTCAGAGCTGGTAGACCATCCAAATCAGTCCGTAGTGGCTAGAGTTATTATATTTCAGTCAGATAACATGAAACTACTCACATCTAGTTGACTAGCCTTATGGCATATCACATCCATATCCACTAAGCATCAATAAGAATTATTATGTTTGAGATAAGACAATAAAGAATTAAATATTATTTTTCTCTTAGAACGTATAGCTCCGTCACCTCCACCTAATTTATCACCAAACATATCATATATTATTTTATCTATTAAATAAACTAAAGAAAGTAACTTGTATCCTTGATATATGAGGCTCAACGTGAGTTAAAGAGGGAGAAACCCTTATCGCTACATGTGGTTGAGATTGCGCCACATCATTATACATGAGAAAATCTCTTTATATGACATATAACATTCATTCACCTCTAAACTAAAACCCTAAAGGGAGGTTAGTCACCTAGAACTTTTTAAGTAGAACTGGGATAATTGGTAAAGTGAGATAGTATTTTGACACTGAGATAATTTAGTAGAACAATGATGAGTAATTCTTAAAGTGGGATAATTTGGTAGGATAATTTGGTGAGATAATGATGGATAATATTATGAAATTGCATAATTTGGTAAGATAATTTGGTGAGGGTAATGGTGGGTATAAATTACTATTGTTAATAATTGTATATTAAAACTAATATAATATTGATAAGCAAATTCTAGTAATAACTATAAAATACAATGCAATAAAGCATCACTATTCATCTCAAATAATAAAATAATTTACAAATAAATAAAAATCTAAATCCCTAGAGTGACTCGACTTCCATCATCCCACATGACATCTGCTACAGAATTTCTCCAAGCTCCTACAGCTGCTCGTTGAGTCTGTAACTCGTCTTCTTTATCGGAGTCATCGTCTGCATCAGTAACATTTCGTGGAGCTTCTAGCGGAGGATCATAAATGTCGAAGTTCAAATCTCATACATCATAAAGAAAGAAAAATAAGCATTTTTCAGCCATTAACCCTTTGGACCAATCTCATCATGATCGCTGAAACCAAATCAGCAAATAAATAAAATGTACACAGGAATCATCCATGACCGCTAAACAGATGATCGACAGATGAACTATAAATATCCCAATCAATTTACTGAGCCGATTTAATAATAATAGATATCACCATTAACCATTCAACATCTAATCATCAATGTGATCGCAAAGTTGTTTTCTAACTTATAAAAAAAACATAAATAACCCGCATATCTTTAGCACTAACCCACCAACACTATATTCTTAACCTAAACCACTGTTGTGGAGAGAAAACTTAGATCAAACAAATAATAATAAAGTAATTTAACGTCAAAAAGCTATCAATAAAGTAATACATCTTGAAGATAATAATAAAAGATCTAATCATCACAAAAACAAAGTAAAAACAGAAAAATGAACAGATGATTGACTTCATGGCAGAAAAATTTTCTAGGTGGAGAAACTAACCAAGAGGGAGGCGGTGTTTCACTTTTTTTTTCCTAATTGTATTCTTTCCAATGTGTGGGATAATTTGAGAGAGAACTTATGGTTATATATATAGGTAGTATAATTTATGGGATAATTATGACCAATTATCCCAATTCTAATTCTAGTAGAATTCTACTTGACTAACGCACCAAAAAAAAATACAGTTCTAGTTCTACAAAAGTTCTACTTAACTAATACTATAATAAAATGTCTCATTTCCTAGTTCTATGTGACCAACACCTTAAAAATTTATCCCACAAATTATCTCAGTTCTAGTTTTAAGTTCTAGATGACTAACCCCCCCAAAGATAGATGAAAGACTATATAGTACATCTTCAGTTCCTCTTCTGGTCATCCAGAACAATTCCATACTAGAGGTCATTTGACCTCTGCCACCAACTCCACAGCTGTAACTGCCACCTTCATGGTGCCCACTGCCCACCGCTGTAACTTCTCTAGAAAGTGTTGCCGCAACTCTCACCACCACTTCTAAAACCACCCATGCTTCCTTGAATACGGGCCTACTGATTGGTGTCCTTCTAATTCACTTTTGTGTACCTTAGAAGATTATAAGATGCTACCGAGAATCTTTCTGATATAAAAAACCACTAATATATCTCAGATCAACCAATAAGATAGAAGAGTAGTTTCGTTCATTTCATCATAAGATACAATTTAAGGAGATCAAATTTACTTGTATAAATTTTCTGACTTCAGTAATAGGACTTTGATTATGATGAAATATATGTATTTAATTGATTGAAACTGATCAGATGATTGGTTGCTTCAGCATGAAGCAATAATGGAGTAGAGTGAGTTGCTCTGACTTACAGAAGAGAATATATACAAGTAATGCATTTTAGCTATATAAATTTATATGGTTAATTGCGAATAGACCTCTGGCAATATCACCTAATTGCGACTAGACCCCTTGTAGCTCTATCTGTGTGAGTAGACTCGCTGTAGTATTGGCCCAAGTACGAATACACCCCCTTAGTGAACTTCTTTGACTCTTTTAAATGGAAAAAAAGAAATCTTTTACCGGTCTACCCTCACCAATAGAACTATAGAGGGTCTATTTGACTCCTCAAAACCTTTTTAACGATTTTAAGATTTAAAAAAAAATTCACACGGGGTAAATTCGCACAATAGAACTACATGGGACCTGTTTGCAATTGGGTGATACTACAGGGAGTCTATTCACAATTTACCCATATCTAGATAATTGATCAAATGAAAGTATCATACAATCATGCTGATGTTCTTACATGTTGGGCAGCTTGGGCTTGTAGGAGAGCATTCTGATGCTGTGACTGGACTGCACGAATTTGTTGCGGTGTCTGAGTTATGATTCCCTTGTTACCATCCTTTGTTGATTCTATTAAACCTCCAAGATTACTGTTGCAAAATGAGGGAAAATATCTAAGATAATTAAACTGCACAAAATTATATTTGGAAAGGAAATTTAGCAAAAGGCAAAAAGAAATAATAAATAATGTGCACACTAAACAAAATAAGGGATAACTCTGGAAAAAAGTGCATGTAATGCTAGATGTATGAACAATTTAACAAGTGATTGGAGGTTTTAGAATCATTTGGGGACCCGAACAAATTCATTTCCCATCAGTTATCTTTGTCCACATCTCCTATCTATGTTTCCTCTAAATAGAAGTCATCTAATTTATCTTTGTTCCTCTTGATTAAACTGAACTCAAACCGCAAACCTCCCAACTCTTACTCCTCTATGCCAGTGCACCTTCTTCCTCCCTCTCTTGCCTTTTTGTTCAATCCCAAAACCTTAGCCTAATCAGTAATGAAATTCAAATGCTAATCAACACCCAAAAGCCGCAAAGTGCAAGAAATGAAGGTTAGCAGGTATAAACAATCTGGCATACAAATTGCATATGGTTCTGATACATTTGTTTTTGGTATGTCAAAAATGGATTGCCCTACACTAAGCATAGCGAAGGGAAGCAACCCATTTGTTATCCCAAAGGAAGAGTGTAATGTTATCTTCTACAAGAAAGTTTGGTAATCTTTTTCCAGTTCCTCGATGAGTGAGATCACCAGTTAATGTAGGAGTGCACTTCTGTTGCAAAATGCTACATTAGAGAGAGGGTAATCAGCATAGTAGAAGACTCTGTTCCAAGGCCAAGGGAAATTTATGATATCTTGCTACTTCTACGTTGACTTACTACAGTTATACAAACTACTTACACTCAAGGGCCATCCATTACTACAACTACTTCCTTTCGGTTACCCTTCCCCAGGGTGGAAGTATATAATAGAGGAACATTAACTAAATGATAAGACTAACACATGAACTATAGGGCAGTATTCTTGCAGTATAAGAGATTTAGGGTAAGGATCAGATAAATCAAATATAAGCTGCTCGTTGCATGCCAGACATTTTCACTAAGGTAGCAAAACAATAATCTTACTTTCATTCAAAGGAAGTGGTGAAAAAGAAAGGCTATTAAACTAAATAGGAGAACAAGCTTAAACTAGTATATTGGATTCATTGCCTCCACAAGTTGGAGCTACAACGGCATTAAGTGGGTGGTTGACAAGGAAAATTACCAATGAGCTAATTCATACAAATAAAATAAATAAATAAAACTGAGGGTTTAATTTCTTTAGTGTATGATAGATCAATATTTTGGCATAATTTGTATGCTTAATATTATTAATTTATTAGAAATAATTGCCAAGACTTTTAGCTGTGAACATGTCTATTTGGGCAAGTGTTTGGAGATGTGTGTGTGTGTGATGTTACCATGTTCTCACGTTTCATGTCTACACTTGTTAAGTTTTATCACATTGCCAATATCTATATTTAAAGCATTCCTATGTTTTTGTCGGCAAATAATCTTTGTTTGTACATCTAATTGTCCAAATATTTGGTGTATTTCAAGTATGATGATTTAGCTAGAAGTGGTCAACTTACTTGTACCCAGCAGTTTGTAGAAACATTTGAAGGAGTTTAATGGACGAGAACTGCTTTCTGTAGCTATCTGTGATAAGCTTCAACATGCGGCCTAGTCTACAGATATGGCTACTAAAAAATTCTGAAAACACTTCAATGGAAGATCCTGTTCCCCCTTCAAAACCTGCATTAACTAACAAGCGGGCTACTATCTTGTGGTTCATTGCGGATGCTTGCTCCTCACACAGAGGTTTCTTCTCACAACCTGATCCATCTATTCCCCTATATTTGCTTCCCACTTTAATGTAGTCTGGCCTTATCCCAAATCTTTCCATCATTGCTGTACTCCGGCTAGCTACAGTGGGTAAATTATCAAGAATTTCATAAACATCTGTTTTCTGATTCTTCTCCATCTCATTTCTCACTGGGACAGGACTATCAGGTACACAGTTCGATGGGAACATGATTTCTGGAAAGAATGAGATCTCTTCTTGAGTTGAGCAATTTGCATCCAGAATTATTTTTGGAGGCATGTAAGATCCATTCTCCGACGTTGAGTCTTTAAACGCAAGCCTCTTTCTTTTGTGAACCTCCCGAAGTTGAAGGTATGCAGACATACCTTCAGACGTGCGCTTCAGTGATTCCTTGTCACCATGTGGGAGCATGTGATATTTTGCTTTAAACTTCTCAGAATATTGACTATACCAGGTTTCTGGTAATTCTTCCTGTCTGTGTCTTTGGGATAAGTTAACATTTTCAGGATTATTGTATCTTGATCCAACACCAGAAGCTTGACCATAACCATGTCCACTAGCTTTGCCTGCTGGTCTTGATTGAGCCTGCATCACAGATATACAGAACCAGGAGTTCAGATGTGCTGCCAAACTCAGTACATTTACCAGCGCTGTATAAGCTGATTTTTAACCCTCTGAAGCATTGATAGTTCAAAAACCAAAAACAGATGATATAAAGTAACGTACTAAAAAGGTGCATAAAAAATCAGGGTGAAAAGTAACACATGCATGTACAATATAAAGTTCAGAAGAAAGTAGAATTGCAATTTCATACTCAAATACCAATTAAATGTAACGAAAAAACAGCTAAGATAGACTAGCCTCGAGCACATCACTGATCTTAAATACATCAACACCATAGATGCTCAAGTGGATGATTTAAAACTTTCAAATCATACCAAGCTAAGCTAAAGATACAAACTTTCAAATCCCTTGCCTACTGTTTTCTAAGGAATAGAGAAGCATAAGTTACTTTAATGAGTTAAATAGTTCACTTATTGTGAAGAAAAGATCTACATGATTTATATTCAAAAGATGTGAAATATTTGTAGTTGTTTTTAATGTATGACATTGGGATGTTTGGGAATCTGGATTTGGGCGTTGAATTTCAAATCCAAGATTGCCCAAATCCAGATCCCCAGTTTGGGGCTTAATTTGGGCTTGAATTTGAAATCAACTAATTCTAGATGGGAGGAATTTAAACCCCATCAAGCAGAATTTCAAATTTCAGCCTAGCCCCTGTGATTTGTGAAATCCGTAGTCGCAAGATAAAGATCACAATCTTCATCTCCCCAAATTTCAAGTCTTAACCACAGGAAAACCCTAGCTCACTCACAAGGGAGCTATCATCCTGGAACGTCGATTGACCAAGCACTGCAGGTTCCGAAAAGGTAATCCCTATTTCTCTATCACCCTAAAATTTCTCAAACTAAGAAAGGGGTGCTTACTTGGGATAGTGTCAGTTCTTTTTGTTCACAAATTGTAAATGTTCCTGCAGGATTAAAATTTAAATTGTAAATGTCCCTGCAGGATTGAATTTATGAATCTTAACGAATGTTGCTCTCCTCTTCAGGTTAAAAACTGAATGTTTGGTTTATGAAAAAATAGGAATCACGACTAATTATTCTCAAAATAAAAATTTGAAGTTATGATTTGTATACGGCCTTTCTTTGTGAAGGCATTAGGCAAGTATTATGAAGTTAAGCAATGGGTTTAATCATTTCATTAAAGGCTATCACTCACTTGTTTTTTTCTTTCTTCTAAAGATTCTTTATTTCATTAAATTGCCATTTAATGATCTTTCCTAGTTATCTCTAAAAAAGGATCTATTTAGCTCGATTCATGTGGCTAGAACTTTGTTTGTATTGCATCTTTTATCCATGATGATATGTTAAACTAAGCCCTTATTGTATCTGGTATTTGTTGTTTTGTATATTAAATAGTTGTTGAATTACATTGTTTATCAATGTTTTCAGAAATCAAATTATTGTTAATGGTTAGATGTTGAAGCCAAACTCTTATGTGCAATGCAAATAATTGTATAGAATGACTCCTCAAGTAAGGTTGTGTAATATCATATGTACTAAAGGGGGATTATTAGCTTTAAGAAATGTGACAACTGAGGAAACTGTGACAATATTTTGTATATTTTGGCTCATTATGTAAAACAGGAGAAGGAAGACATATTTTATCGTTCAAATGAAACCATTAGTTGACAATCCTAAAAGTACTACGAGTAATTTTGAAGATGGGAAAGCTCTACATTAGGCAAGAATATTCACATCCTAATGAGAGAAACATGGAGAAAGTGAAAATGGTTCAAGATAACTATTATTCAGTACCTGTTTTGGGTTTCTAGTTTCTCCCTTAATCTCTCAAGTTCATTCCCATTTTGTTGTTCTCTTTTTATTTCTTTAATTTGTAACTGTTCTTCTAATATTAGAGCCTGAATATTTTCAACTTTTATCATTTTTATTATTTTCATTAACTTTTTGGCGGATGAGGAGTGTTGTCACCTTTTTCTGGTCACACAATTGGCACGTGACATGTCAGACTTGATGGTGTTACTATGAGGAACTGAGTGAAACTCTTCAAGGGGTTTACTAAAATAAAAGAAGTTCAGGTGCAGTTATTTGCAAAACCCCACAAAATTCAGGGGGATTTTATGGAATTAAAATAGTTTAGGGGGTTATCTCAAAAATAGCCAAAGTTAAGAGGATATTGTGAAGTTTACCACCATACTAATAGAAATATAAGCACAACTGTAATTTTTTAATACTATTGCATGGTCGTATCTGAATGAGCAATGGTATAAAAAATATATTCATCAGGTTTTAATATTTCAGGAGTTTAATAGGAAAAAATTGAAGTATAAAAATCAGTAATGCTTTGAAAAAAATTTTAATCGCATTACTCATATTTCTGCAGCTCACATTCATCAATTCTGATAGTGTGAAAGAAAAGATGTCAGAGGTAAATGACGAAAAGCTAACTGATTTTGTAAAGACTGCTATCCTTGTCCAATCAGGAAAAGATCAAGGTGGTTATCTTAGCAGAAGTGAGTTAAGATGATTTTGAGACCTATTCATTACTGATAATAATCATCTAGAATACACCAGTCTTGAGTACCTCTTGAGTACCTCTACGTTATTTTTTCAGCTTTCGATAGACAACAAAAGAAAAAGGAAATGGACCTATAATGTACGAGTTGGCTAATTGCAAACAACAGTTGAAAATGAAGGATTTAGCCTACATGCAAGCCAGTGTCTAAGTTGACATCTTTGAAAGAACACAGGTAAAAGCTCTATACTCAGCTGAAGCGTTCACAATCTGACAGGGACAAGTACATGGAAGAATACAAGAACTATGTGAGTTGGTTTTAAGTGCTGTTCTATGCTCTGTTGTGCTAGGGAGACATATGAAAATAAGGCATATCTGCCAGTTAACATCTGATATTATACGTGCTTGTTAATTTGTTCACAGGGTGCTTTGAAGATGGTTACCTTTGTAACAATCTCAAGACTTGATTATGTTCATTCATTCATTTATTATTGTCTCAAATTTGCTTAGGGGTACTAATGTTGGTACCAAGGTTTTGTTTCTTTATAGCCACTGTTTTAAATATCGGCCGATAATCGATATTATCGGCCGAGTTATCGGATTTGGTAGCTCTCCGCTAGGATAAATTGGATTTTTAATCAGTTATCGTTTTTCTAGGTTTATCGGCGATTTATCAGCGTTATCGACACTTATCGGCCGATAAGTAAGACTTTTTTATCGGGATTATCGGGATTATCGGCCCATTTTGACTAACATTATATTTTTTCAAGGCTATGATGCAAGTTTCGCTTTCTACAATTGGTTAATGATCCTAAACATGATGATTTACATTTTGGTATGTTTATATTTCATTAAGCATGATTAGATTACATTTTTTAATTGTTATATTATATATACACATCATCCAGTATATCACTCCGATAAATACTACTTATCCCCGATATATCCCCGATTTCCGCTATCCGATAAGGATTTTGGCCGTCCGATAAATCCCCGATAATCGATATTTAAAACCTTGTTTATAGCCTACAACTTCGGTGCTCCATAAAGATTTGTTGGAGCACCGGTGGCATATCTGTAAATAATTTCCTTAAAAATAGCTCTCATATTTCTAGGTAGATAGATTTGGCGGTTAGGAGGTGTTCCACACCCAAGATTGTAATTAACTATGGGTAAAAAGGTTATTTTAGGAAATACAATTTAGGAGAGAAACAAAATTTATGATTAGTTAGAATTCTCCGATTCACGTTACAATTTTTTACCGCGTTATCAAGTCATGCTCCGCACTTTCCTGTAGAAAAAAAAAGCTCCTCTCTTGAAGATAACGCTCCGCACTCTCCGTCTCCAAAAAATCTCGTGAAGGGAACACCATGAAAGGTGCTCTCATCTTTTCTTTTTTAAAAAAAAATTAATTACATAATATGATGTGGTGGCTTTAGTTGCAGCAACTTATGCTTAAAAAATTTTAATTATTTAGTTTGATGTAGTCGCTTTCGTTGCAAATGATGTAGTCGCGCGCTTTCATTGCTTCGTTGCAGATGATGTAGTCGCTTTCATAGCAGCAACTTTGTAAATTTTTTAATTATATAGGATGATGTAGTCGCTTTCATAGCAGCAACTTACGTGTAAATTTTTTAATTATATAGGATGATGTAGTCGCTTTAGTTACTAAATTAAAAACATAATCTCCATGTTTATAAGCTAATTAATCAAGCCGGCTAAATTTTTTACTATAGAAGTTCTTACAGTTTGCATGCATGCACTATCTCTATCACACATGAACACTATAGAAGTTCTTCCTTCTCTCTCTGATTTCTTGTCTTTTTTTTTTCTTTTTTTGTGGCGGAACAAAGGCGGTGATCCCCTTGGCTAATTTTTTTTCTTTCGCTGCGTTTAGTTAGCAGTTTAGGATAGAAAGCAGGTAAAAAGTTATTTTTGAAAGACTAAAATACCCTTTTGTTATGTTAGCTCATTTGTTATTTTTGTTAATTTAAAAATTAAAAAAAAAACTATTTTTGGAGCACCGAAGCAAACCTCTTCTTTATATGGTAGTTTTAGGTTTTGACAAAATTCTAAATGCCTGAACTTTACCATTTGTGCTATGTAAATTTCGTTTTTAGCTCGTTTGAAGGAGCTCAATTTCAGTCCATTATGTATGGAACTGGTATTAGATTAGTGCATCAGGTGATTTGTGATTTGAATTTTGAGATCTGCATTTTGTACTAGGTTCTGTCTTAACATTCTAGGTTGTTCGTGGTTAATTCATTGATTTCTAGTAATAACAAAATTAAGAGGATGTTTGGAAGGGCCTTCTTTTTTTAGCATACAAGTCATGCAGACTTTTGGTAGCTTTTGGCTTTTATAATAAAAACTTAATAAAAAACTTAAATGGGTAAAAAAGTCATTTGCTTGGTCAAACCTAGTAAATGAGCTAATATGCTAGTTTTTAAAAAGTTGGGGAGCCTCAAAATTTTTAAATATGACTT